CCAAGTTGATCAATGTCAGGTTTGAAGGGTTCAAACCCTCTAACGTTGATCCACACCACCCACGTCAAGATGCAAGAACTCTTTCTTGAAGAACCACCAATTGATCACCACAAAGAGGCTTGCTATGCGCTCAATAGGTGAAGGAGGAGGTAAGGTGAATGTGTTTATAAGAGTGATATTTTCAGCAAGAAAATATCACAAAAGTGGCGCATAGAATGAAGTAAAATTGGCTAGGTGTTTTTGAAAAACCCAAAGGAGAACCTACCCAAATTGGCGCACAAGAGTGTGATGAGAGAGTCATGATGCAATCAGATTTTTCACTTAAAAAACTGATTGAGGTGGCGCACAAAGAGGGAGAAAAAGATTGAGTTGTTGCAATTCAAAATTTCCAACAACCTACCTTTGAATCCTCATGAGACTAGGTCTTAACCTAGTCAAAATTCTGATCTAATGGTCATCATATGGCCAGCCATATGTGCGCCCCCTTCAGCCCCAAAAACGGTCCAGATACGTTGAGCAGTTGCATTCAAATTTGAACCAACTCACTGACTGATTCTCTCAACCAACCAAATCTGATTGGAACTTATTTGGTTGACTAGATGACACTTATAATCACACCACCAAAGATCTCCTCTTGATACAAGGGATTTGTTCCAACAAGATCTTATCTTATCCTTTTGTTATGAAACAACTTTTCATAGCCAATTCAAATTCAAATTCAAACATTTAAATTCAAACGTTCAAACTTTAAATTCAAAATTCAAATTCTAAATTTAAATTCAAAATTCAAAATTCTAAATTCTAAATTCTAAATTCAAAATTCAATTCAAAATTCGAATTACAAAATTCAAATTCAAAATTCAAATTTCAAAATTCAAAATTTAAATATTTGATAATTAATTTAACTAATTAAATTAATTAGTAATGTCTTGGACCATCCAAGCCCATAAATGATCCATGCGCCCTTTTCCTTTTTAGGTGGGCTTCCAAACTTCTTCTTGGGCTAACAACCATTATTAGGCCCAATACCTTTAATGCTAGATCATCATGGCAATAAGGTGTTAGTGTGTGACCCATTAGGTCCAACATAGCTACTGACATAAATGGGCTCGGGCCCAACAAGCCCACAACCCATTTAATGACAACACAGAGCACTAACAATGCTTTGTTGCCCCAGAACTAGTTAGATTAATGACTTGATCATCCTATTATACATATTTGGTTACCGTATATATTTCTTTTCGTCTCGGTTATCTTCCCATTAAACCTAGGGTAAGAAAACGTATTAACCCTTGCGGTTTAGGGTAAGCTTTATTCGAAATAGGGAATCTTCAATTTACTAACTCTAAAGGCAGATCATCTCATTATCTCTTTTACTATGCATAGATTCCCGAGTCCTTGTAAATGTCATCCCGATTTCTCCAGTTTACAGATAACCTAATCTCTCACAGAGATTTGACGAATTCCTTCAACTTATCACCTTAGCCCTGTGCTCTTTCAGGACAAGCCCAACAGTGTAACTATGAGTCTCCATGTTTCAGGCAGACGAGGTATACAATCAAAGCATGCCTTCTAGAACACAGTCTAGGTAATAACTTCTGGTATAAGGAAAGACATACCCAAATATAAAGAGACTACTCTAATGACACTATATGTGAGATTTCCTCATAGAGTCTCTTTGTGGGTCTGTTCAGTGCGAGCTATACCCTTATAGGTCCACCCACGACTTTAGCTAAGACATCTCCATATCTGTAGCACATGAGGTCTTTACCTTGTATCCAAATACAACTAGATAAGTCATGTTGTCTTACCCGAGATCACTGATCCCCATTCTCAGTGTCTCTAGACTAGGAACATAAAATTAGGAATAAAGATGTGGTATCCTAAAATCCCCATGATCGTGATCTCATCACAGATACTCAGGAGATACCTGTTTTATTCCAAGGGGTTTATCCAGTTACTCATATAAAATATTAACAATAATATTGAGACAAAATATGAAACAGGATAAAGAGTACTTTTATTTATTTGTGACAATATAAAAGGTCCACATATGTCCTAATCTAATCAAAAGATTGTCTCTAGGACATCCATATACTAACAAGCTCCCACTTGGCCTAGAGCCAATCTGACCTAAGTCGTATACCTAAAGTCTCGTAATGACTATCATGTTTTCTCTGAGAAATAGCCTTTGTCAGAGAATCGGCTAGGTTATTATCTGTGGGAACACAATCCATTTTTACATCCTACCTATCAATGATTACTCTAATCAGGTGATATCTGCAGAGCACGTGTTTAGATCTTTGATGAGACCTAGGTTCCTTTGACTGCGCAATGGCTCCAGTGCTTTCGCAGGGCTCATCTACGCTTGGAACCACCCTTAGTTCAAATATGAACTTCTTGATCCACACGGCCTCCTTAGCCGCTTCTGAAGCAGCTATGTATTCAGCTTCTTTCGTTGAATCTGCTTTTGTTTCCTGCTTGGAACTCTTCCCCACCATTTAAGGTGAATACGTGGATTGAGATAAACCCAGCAGCATGTTGGATCTATCTCTATAGATTTTTATACCAATTATAAAGACCGTTTCTCCCAAATCCTTCATGTGAAGCTTTCTGAAAGCCACTCTTTCGTTATTTGTAATGTGGGGATGTCATCTCCTATAAGTAATATGTCATCTATATAAAGCACCAGGAAGACAACATTACTCCCACTAACCTTCCTATAAACACAAGGTTCATCCTCGTTCTTGATGAAACCATTACTCCTAACGACTTCATCAAAACGAATATTTCAACTCCTTGATGCCTGCTACTATTGCAAGCATGATCCTAATCAAGAATCCTGGTATTTCCATTGCAGGAACATCAGAGTAAACAAGAAACCTTCAAGAAATCAAGAATCATATCTTCAACAAGTAAGCCTGAATCTTTGAGTGTTCTAATGTCATATAATCCTATTTTATGAAATTTCTTACAATATATCCACGCCCTTTGAGTGTTGACTCCTCCTTCGTCTTTTTCTTGGAGACCTTCTTCTCTTAATTTCCTCAAGTGAGAGAAAGAGATAGATAAAAAAGGAAAAAAAGTAGACAAAAAATATAAAAATATGAGTCTCACCTATTTGTGAGAGTGAAATGACATAAATTATATCATTAAAAAAGACAAACATTTTTTCTATATATTTAAATAAGAGAATATGCCAAGCTGTCCAAAACATTACCCAGTCACTTTTAAATCCCAAAAATTTGCCATAAATTGTATCACCAAGTTGTTGCTTCACGAAACTTCCCATTGGAAATAAAAAAACTCAATAATTTAGCTTCAGCATTTGTCACTTTTAAATCCCAAAAATTTTAAACTATGAAGCAATAGGTAGGTAGCTGTTCACAACTGGAAGAGTTAGATGCTATTGGATATTACAAAGATTCTCGCTCTCAAAGCATGGTCGATATTGTTACTCTCGAAAGCTGCCGCGGTTTGTAACACAAATTGGTTATGAGAGTTTAGACCTAGTGATGCATCTAATACAGGGGAGAAAATAGTTCCAGCTCAAAAATAGAATGGTTTGGTGTTCCCCGTGTTGAAGAAATTATTGGTTGTTTTTGTCCCAAGTTAACATTTAGTCATTTATATTTCCAATTTCTTTGGTCAAACGCAGTGGCGGATGCACATATATTTTTTGGTGTGGCCTTGATCCGAGCTAAATTTTAATAAATTATACTTATTATATATAATTAATTATAATTTGGCTCAGGTTAAAATTATAATTTGGCCCGGTCTACAATTTATAATTTAGCCTTATCTAAAACTTGAAATATTTTTTGTAAGAGATTTGGGTAAATTGTATTAAGTTATGTATTCATTTTCACTTGTATAAAAAAAATATTTTTAGCAAAATTAAAAAATATTTAATAAAATTATAATTCTTCTTAGTACTGCCTGTTCAGGTGCTCTATATTTAATATAATTTAAATGGGGAGGCTTATATTTAAAAAAAAAATATTTACAAACTACACTATGTACTCCCAGAAGTACACTATGTTACACTATGTACTTCCGGAAGTAGATAATATAATTTACAAAAATTTGTAAAAAAAACTGTAAATGAATCCTTCCCCAATTTAAATATATTATGATATGAACTAACTAAAATTAAGAAAAATAAATACACATATAATTTTTTGACCCCACTCAAATTTGAGCCCGGCTGCGCCACTGAAACTGTAGCAGATATAAAAAGTTAGAATCAGATCATGCTTCGTCTTTCGGAAGTATTCGAACTCCACATTCTTGAAAATCTGCTCGAATCATGCAAGGTGGCCATCTCATATGAAACATTTGGTACATCTTTTCCTAAATATGATAAAAAATAATTAATTTTATACTACCTTTACTTTTATACTTATTTCAATATATTTTTTTTATTTTGGGAAAGGGAGTATGTACTCAGTTGTATGGAAAATGAGCTCCATCTCAGAGAGTGCTAAGTTTGGTGGGTTGTCGGAAATGGACTACATCATGGATAACTATGTTGGTTGATTTAGTACTTATCCAACTTCTCACTGTATGAAATGCTATAGTTTCTTTGGTTTAACTATATACAATTGTTGGGAAATGCCATGAGATGCAATATATCGTGTGTGTGTGTGTTATTTCTGCCATTTTCTTACTGGACATTATAATGCTACCCAACCTATCAGTTGGTTAATTACCTTCACATATGCAAAGTCGCATGAATTCTTAACATGGAAACCGTGTCAGCCAGCATATTCAATAACTAAAAGTGACTTCAGTTCTTCCATGTGAGTGTTATCGTGGAGAATTGCTAACTTGGAATTGGCAATCAATTCCTGAGTTCTATTCGAGGATGGGAATTACTTCCTCTATATTCAATTGAAAATTGTAGCTCTTTAGTGCATGATCAAGAATAAAAAATGCGAGAAGCAACAAGGTAACTAATAGTGTAAATGAAACAGATAAAAGAATACTGAAGTCCAAGTAAAAATAGGGAGTAAGGGCAAAATAAAATAAATAAAGATGAAGAATCTGAGTTAATCTTGAAGTAAATTGGTAAAATTGCTAAATGAAAGCGGAAATGACTAGAGGGATCCTTCTGAGAATGTGTTGCGACTTCGAGTATTTCAAGCCTCTAGCTAAATAGCTAATGGCCATCTGCTATTATCCTAAGTACATGACACGCGTCTAAAACATCTTCCCATTTCTGAACCGGCGACCGCCTGTTGAATTTATCAGTTCTCACATCGACGAGGACTTGGTATGTACTAGCCATTTGAAATTTTAATGGCAATATCCACAATTTTTTTGACAAGTTCATATTCGTACCTGTACAAGTACACAGCCTTTTAATTCATTCATACAGAGTTTTCAATTTCTTTCCATTACTCAAAATTTATTTTAACAAAAATATTAAAATTAAGCTTGACTCATTATCTTCACCAAAATGCAAAATCGCACTAAAATTGGAAGCAAAACTAAGCCATGTCTCCAATAACATTCATTGTTAACAAAGTCACAATTCAAACAATAATTATAAGAATTGAATTCTTATTTAACAGTTCACATGTTTTTAAGAACTATTTATATACTAAATAATTCAGAATCATATATTTAACAACTAGTTCTACTAAAATAGACATTAATTATAGAACTTCAGCAAAAAGTAATTGAAAAGTGTATCATGTACCCGAATTTCAAGTGCCATCCTTTCAAGTTGGCAACTTGAGACAAAGCTAGCCTCCATTCCTGCACCTTCTTGGAATCCTTTCCGATCCTATTTTCATGTGTTTCCATGGCTTTGCCATAATTATTTCTTTGGTGCCTTATATCCGAGGGTTCCACTTTGTAAAAGATTGGCCAGACCAATCCGTTTTTCATCTTCATACAGTCAAGGATCATGACAAGTTCATCAAGACGCAAGGAGGAACATGCATAATTTTGAGAAAAAACAATGATTGAAAGCCTTGATTTTTCAATTGCATTAAGAGATTCTGAAAGTTGGTCCCCATCCTTCAATCGCTCATCATTCATGAAGGTATTGAATCCCTCCTGGCACAAAGCATCATAGAGAAAACCTGTAAAGGAGTAGCGGGTATCTTCTCCACAAAAACTGAGAAAAACATCGTAGCGGGGCAAGCTTCGGGTGACTCCTTCCACAATCTTTTGGATAAGTTCATAATCGTAGCCATACCTACAAAAGTACAAGGCCTTTCCTTTGAATTCATTCATGCAGAGTTTTGGTATACTTTCTCCTAATCAGAATTACCAGTACGGTATAATAAAATTGAGCTTGAGTAATCAATCAACACAGACAGATTGTGACACCAAATTCAAAACAAAACTTTTATCTAGTTAACAAGATCACTCACTTTTTACCACATTATTACATCAGAATTTTAATAGGAGAAAAAAATTATAAAAATAGCTGAAATTCTAATCTAATAATGTTAATAATGATTGAGAGTGATAAACAAAAATATATACCATAAATTAATTACTTAATAGTTAGCAAACAATAATTGTGAAAAGTAAACAAACGTACTGGCGATTATCGAATCTAGACAAGTTGCTGACTTCAGACAAAGCTGACCTCCATCTCCGTACTTTCTCAGAGTCCTTTCGGGACCGATCTTCATGTCGAGCCATGGCTTCTCCATACGCACCTCTCTGACGCCTTACATCGGAGGGATCCACATCGTAGAAGATTGGCAAAACCAGTTGGTTCTTCTCCTTCTTACAGTCAAGGATCTTGACTAGTTCCTCAAGACACCACGAGGAATATGCATAGTACTTGGAAAGAACAACAATGGAAATCCTTGAGTCTTCGACTGCTTCGAGAATAGAGGATGCGATTGGGTCGCCACTCTTCAATCCACCCTCATCCATGAAGGTCTTGAATCTCTTGAGGCGCAAAGCATTATAGAGATTACCAGTGAAGGTGCGGCGGGTATCTGAGCCCCTAAAACTGAGAAAAACATCGTAGCGGTAGTTGGGTTCGTGGATGGCAATGGCCCCTTCTTTCGCCATCATCAAATTTAGAATAGAAGGATATGACATGAATAAAAGCAGAGTACTAGTGTGTGTTTGGATTGACTTTTAGTTTCTCAAAAGCTGTTTTTTTTTTTTTTTTTAATTACTTCTGAATTTTTTTTGATTGTTTGGACGTTGCTTTTACAAAAAGCAAAAGCTAAGAAAAAAGTTAAAATTTGGCTTTTCTCAAAAGTTAAAAATTTTGGCTTTTGGAATAAGGAGAAGCTGGCACTCAGTTACTTTAACATCTTTCTCCTTCGTTCTGACCCTTTTCACCCAACACCCACTTTCATACTTCAATTTTTTTTTCATCTCAGTCGAAACCCACTGACATTCCTGTTCACCAAAACCCCTTCTTCGCTAACCGTTCTTCGCTACTAGTCGTCGTCAAACATTAAGAGTCGAGCTCATCTCCATGGCCTCACCCATCTACCTCATAAATCAAGTAAAAGGCAGTATGTTGTATGAGTTGAGTAATAAAAACCAATCAAATAATTGAAATATCAGTAAGTTGTATGATTGTTGGCATTTCAATATACTAAATTTGTATTAATGCTCAAATGCAGAGCTCGCAAAACATTTTGAAATCATTCACTTAAAGAGAGGTAAAGAGAAAGTAAAACAGTGATGTTCTTTTTTTCAAATTTAAAAGTCCTTTTTATTTTAACATCCAAATAACATTTTCACTTAAAAGTACTTTTTAAATATTGCATCCAAACACAAAATAACTTTGACTTTTTAGAAAAGTTCTTTTAAAAAAAGTAACTCATATAAAGTCTTTTTTTCAAAAGCTCATCCAAACGGGAGTACTTAAACTAAAAAGAGGATGTGGGATGTATAGCAAATTTATGGAAAAATTAAAGAAGAACAACGACACCAGAAATATTGTGGTTCAGTCTCATTTGGACCTACATCCACAGTAATATTTTCTCCCCCTTTCAATCATATTTTTCAGGGGGTTTCATTCCCTTTAAATAGAGTTTAATACATTGAATGGGCAATTAAATCTTGCCTACAATTGTGGGAATATACAGATTTGATTCCTCCTATTTGGGCTAAATTAGAGGCTTGATTGGGGATATTTTTCCCATTGATTATGCTATTATCTCCAACACTCCCCCTCCAAGTTGGAGGGAAGATATCAATCAAAGTCAACTTGGCAATAATACTCTGAAAATTCTGTCTGGATAAGGCTTTAGTGAAGATATCAGCAAGTTGATCTTCACTTCGAACATAGGAAGTCATGATTATTTTTCTTTGTACATTTTCACGAACAAAGTGGCAGTCTACTTCTATGTGTTTGGTCCTTTCGTGAAAAACCAGATTTGATGCAATGTGAATGGCTGCTTGATTATCACAATACAATTTGATAGGTGCAATTGGCCTTTTGTTTGTCAAATCATAAAGGAGATTGCGAAGCCAAATGAGCTCACTAGTTGCGGAGGCCATAGATCGATATTCAGCTTCTACACTAGACCGTGCCACGACGCTTTGTTTTTTACTTTTCCATGTAACAAGATTGCCTCCAACAAAGGTGCAAAATCCAGATGTAGATCTTCTATCAAGGGGGTTTCCTGCCCAGTCTGCATCAGCATAACCAACAATCTCTGTATTGCCATTATTCTTCATCCAGATTCCTATTCCTGGACAAGATTTCAAGTACCTGAGAACACGATCCACCAAATTCATATGACCGCAGGTAGGAGCATGAAGGAATTGACTGATATAACTCACTGTGTAGGATATGTCTGGCCTAGTTATTGTAAGATAAATTAATTTGCCAACCAGTCTTTGGAACTGTCTAGGATCAGGTAGAGGAGTAGAATCACCTTCAAATTTACTATTGAAATCCATGGGTGTGTCAGCAGGTTTGGCTGTTAATTTTCCAGTTTCCTTCAGTAAATCCAACACATATTTCTTTTGTGAGATGAATAGCCCTTTGCTTGAATTTGCCACTTTGATTCCAAGAAAGTACCTTAAGTGCCCCAAATCCTTGATGTCGAATTTCATGTTGAGGTATCCCTTCAATTTCTCCATCTCAACAAGATTATTTCCTGAAATGACTATGTCATCTACATAAATCAACACAACAACAATACTTTCAGAGTAATGTTTCAAAAACAAGGAGTAATCCGATTCACTTTTCTTGAAGCCAAAGGAAGTCAAGGCCATGCTCAATTTTCCATACCAAGCTTGCGGTGATTGTTTTAACCCGTAAATTGCCTTCTTCAGTTCGCAAGCTTTTCCTAGTTGATTTTCAAGGGAATGCCCAGGAGGAATGTCCATGTATACTTCTTCTTCCAGATCTCCATGTAAGAACGCGTTCTTCACATCCATTTGGAACAACGGCCAACCAAGATTAACTGCTACAGACATTAAGACTCTTATAGTGTTTAATTTGGCCACAGGAGCAAAGGTTTCAGTGTAGTCCTCTCTATATGTTTGAGTGTACCCCTTTGCAACCAGGCGTGCTTTGTGTCGCTCGATGGTACCATCACTCTGATATTTTATTTTATAGATCCATTTGCATCCAACTGTACGCTTTCCTTCTGGTAAGGTCACAATTTCCCATGTATGATTCTTGTCAAGAGCCATCAGTTCATCAGTCATGGCTGCACGCCACTCTGGTAATTCATATGCTTCTGTATAATTTACAGGTTCGCAGTGCTTATCTATGGTGGCAAGAAATGATCTGTAACCAGTAGATAAATTGTTGTAGCAAATATAACTTTGAATAGGGTGAGCAATAATCGTGGAAACAAAGTCTTGTAATTTAGATGGAGGTCTGCTTGTTCTACTTGACCTTCGTAGTTGTTGTCCATCCACATTTGTGGGTTGATTTTCGGGTAATGTCGTAATCTCAACGGGTCCTAATTGATCTTCAGGAATTTGGGTAGTCTCCTCATGCTGAGTCTCTAGAGGAATTTGGGCAACCTGCTCAGGTTGATCAACATGTTGGATTTGTGTGAGTTCTGGTAAGTAGTTCTCCTTCATTGTTGGCCTTGGAGAATAAAAATCAAATAGTCCTTTGATATGGATCTCCCCCTGATTTTTATTCCTATGAAAAAACATGAAATTCTCGTCAAAGTAAACATCCCTTGAAATATAAAATTTATGTGTCGTGGGATCATAACAATTGTATCCCTTTTTAACTGAAGAATAGCCCAAAAAAATGCATTTTCGTGACCGAGGTTCCAATTTGTTACCTGTTTGGATATGCATATAACAAGTGCAACCAAAAACTCGTAAATGGAACATATTTATTTGTCTATTGAGGATAATTTCCATAGGGGACTTAAATTGTAAAATTCTACTAGGAGTACGATTGATGAGATAACAACTGGTGAGGACAGCAAAAAACCAATAGGCAGAGGTCAAATTAGCATGAAATAGAAGAGATCTTGTGACCTCTAGAAGGTGCCTATTTTTCCTTTCAGCAATGCCATTTTGTTGAGGAGTTCCTACACAAGAAAGTTGGTGAACAATGCCATTTGCTTTAAGAAAATGTTGAAAACATCCATTAACATATTCGCTGTCGTTATCAGTGCGCAGCATTTTAATGCCAAAACCATATTGGGTTTTAATCATATGATAAAACTCTTGGAAAATTATTCCCACATCAGCTTTTGATTTTAACAAATATAACCACATGCGTCGAGATTTATCATCAATGAAGGTAACGAACCATCGAAAACCATCTATTGATTCAATCGGGGCAGGCCCCCACACATCAGAATGAACCAAATCAAACAATTGAAGAGAAACATGAGAACTATCATTAAAAGGTAATCTACGTAATTTGGAGAACCGACAAGTTTCACAACTACTTGAATCAATGGAAAATTTAGAATCAAGACAATTTAAAATTTTATCAGATGGATGTCCCATACGCAAATGCCACAATGTTGAATCATCCCTATGGGTTGCACTCAGACCTTTGTGAACGTCATTCAACAAATATAATCCATTATGTAGAATTCCCTCACCAATCTTCTTCCCTGTCGGAATATCCTGAAACACCACCTTTTTTGGAGAGAATATGACATTGCAATTCAAGTCATTAGTGATTTTAGCAACTGATAGTAAATTTGCAGATAAAGAGGGAATAAATAATATATTAGATGTTTTGTCAAAGAAGTCAATTGTGTCAATCCCTTCAACGGAAACTTGATTGCCATCAGCTACTGAAATAGGAGGAATATTTTTTGCAGTAGAGATATTGGAAAGACATTTGGATTCATAGCACATATGTTCAGTGGCACCGGAATCAATTATAAATGAATGAGCTAACCGAAAGAGCTAACCGAAAGAGTAAAGGCCTTACCGGATTGAACAAGATGAGTGGCATCATTGGATTTATTGGCAGAATTAAGATATTCTTGTAATTGTAGAGCTAATTTTCCAAGTGTGGATTGAAAATCAGTTGATGGTTCACTGGTCTGAGTTGCAGTTGTTAGAGCTCCAATTGACTTATCTTTTTTAATTTTCAAATGGGGGTAGAGCACCCAACACCGATCCCGCGTGTGTCCATCTTTTTGGCAGTGTGTACAATGTAACTTAAAGCTACGACCTTTTTCTTTGCTCCTACCATAAGTGCGACTAACATTGCAAACAGAGGAGGAAGGCAATGGAGTATGAGAATTTATACCTGAAGCAGTGGTATTGGGTCTAGAGGCTGCATGATGGGCTGTAATTTCAGATCGATCTCCACCAAAAATATTGACTGGATTCATCACCCGCCGGCGAGTTTCTTCCCTTTGAATAATGTTACAAATTGTAGCAAAGGAAGGTGGAGGGCTGGTCATCAGAATCTGGCGCTTCACTTCTTCATATTCTGGTCCCACACTGGCAAGAAGCATGAATATACGATCATGTTCTTCACGCTTCACATATTCTTCAACAGTGGCAGCCTTTGGCCTATATTGTTTTAATTCATCCCACCTTTTTTTCATTTGACCGAGGTGCTCATTGAAGGATTGAGACTGTTGTTGTTTTGTTTGACAAAGCTCCTGCTGCAAT